AAATACCCGAAAAAATGATACAAAATTTTAAGCGAGAAAAACGATACAAAATTATTAGCAATACTATGAACACGAATTATACAAATTCAATATTTAGTGAATAACACAAAATAACAATCTTTACTAAATAATCAAATACTAAATAACGTTTAGTTTAAGAAAATATACTAAGAATATAAATAACAGAGAAAAATGATATAAAATTAAAAGCATTACTATAAACTCAAATCATACAAATTTAATAGTCAATTTTATTTTTTTTCCATAATCAATAAAACAAAGCATAACTTGCAAAAAATCTAATTTAACAAAGAAAATATTCTTAACATGTAAAATATACAAGATTAAATTCAAGTTATTAGGCAACTCAGATATCAAAAAATATATTAAAAATATATATATTTAATATTAAAAATATACAAGATTAAATTCATATACAAACATGAATTATTCAAATTCAATATTTAGTGACCAACACAAAACAACAATATTTACTAAATAATTCAAATCTAAATATCTAAGAAAAATGATACAAAATTACAAATAAGATAAACGATACAAAATTATAAGCAATATTATTATCACGAATCATACAAATTTAATATTTAGTGAACAATACGAAGTAACAATCTTTACTAAATAATCCAATACTAAATAAAATTTAGTTTAAAAAAATATACTAAGAAAATAAATAACCAAGAAAAATGATATAAAATTAAAAACACTACTATAATCTCAAATTATACAAATTCAATTGTCAGGTCGTATCTTTTGGAAGTCGGTTGAATTTCTGATAGTTATATTTGGTCATTTGACAACGTCTTTAAACTTAGTTTATTTGTGGGAGTATTGTTTTAATTTTCATTCTATTTTTTATGATTTATATTATTATTTAGATAAAGTTGATTATGAAATTTAAAATCGTAAATTTTAAATCAAAAATAGAACATTGAATATTGTCAATTGATATATTTTTTCAGATGTTTGAATTATTATGTTTTAGTAGTTATAATATAATTTTCGTGGCGTAACAATTTAATATGAAAATATATGCTATGTATGTAAGTTGATGTTATAAAAAATATTAGCGAACTCATTTTGTTCGTCATTTATTACAATATTATATTTTATTTTATATTTATGTATGAATAATTATTTGTAACTAATTTATGAGTAACACCGTTCTTTCGGACACGGATAATTGCTAGTATATAAAGCACTGGCCACCGAAGCTAGCAAATTGTTCTCTACTTTCAGATGCCCATTAGTATGACCATTTCTCTCGTCAGATGGCCACACTGTTGAGGGCATATTATTGGAACCCACTTGTCCGACACAATGATCTGCAATTTCCTTCCTCGGCCTTTGAATTTCTCTCTCTGAATCAAATAGATCCATGTTCGCTGCATCCACCATGATCTGCGCCGAAGACCACAAGGATGGTGAATGGTCAGATCTGGTGTGGTGGCAGTGACTGTGTAGGCAGTAGTTGTGGTGGTTGTGTGGGCAGTGGCTGTGGTAACGATGGAAGGTGGTGTGGTGGCAGTGGCGGTGGTTATGGGCAGTGGTTGTGGTAGCAGTGGCAGTGGCTATGGTATTTTGGTTTTTTCTTTGGTCTGATATGTAATTTGAGTTCAATTCAAATTCAAATTCAAATCCGGAATTAACCCGAATTAAAAAATTTGAATTCAACCCGAACTCATTTGAATTTAATTTGGACATGACTCGGGTTGAGTTCAGGTTTGAATTAAAAAATTATATACGTAGGGTTCAGTTAGGGTTGACCTCTCAACCTGTCCAACCCGATTGAGTTGCACTCTTAACTTTTACCATATTTGTAGATCTTTTTACCATTATTATTGTGATACCAAAAAAAATAATAAAAATAATTACCATAATAGTGATAAAAAATTCACAAATGTTATAAAAACATTCATAAATATGATAAATTTTTTCGTACCAAAAAAATAATAAAAATAATTAACATAAATATGGTAAAAATACAACGGCTATAAAATAACTTATAAAAATAATAAAAACACACATTAAAATAATAAAAATTAGAGATACTTTCTTCGTATGGTAGTCAAGTCCTTGTGTCTTTAGTTCAAGTGCCCCTTTGTAACCTCTCTATTCATTCCGTCTCTCAAGTCGCATCTCACACTTCTTATATTATGCACGCCAATTACTATTTGCGGATGTGGGTTATAATTGAGCCGAGTTGTACGACCTTAAACCTAAACTTGATGAACTCATTTTTTTAAATGAATTTAAAAAATTATTCAAGTTCAGATTGTATAGAAAATGAACTGAGCCCGAGTATGAGCAAAACTCGATTCGAGCCCAAATAACTTGACTAATTTACATATAAATGAGCAGAGTTTTACGAAGTTAAACTGAACTCTTTAGGCTCATTTTTTTAAACAAATCTAAAAAATTATTTAAATTCAATTCATTTAAAATACGAGTTCAAAGTCTCACAAAGCAAGTTTTGGTATGACATTTTAATTGACAAGAAATGCTATTTGCACAAAATAGATGTCAGTTGTTTGTGTTATTCAGAGATTCAACGAGAAATTTAAATATTGAAATGAATAAAATTTATATCTAAAAGTTGCGAGAAATGAAGAGGCTGAAGAAACTTATGGGGCTTTTCACAGTGTAAACGTGAAAAAGCCACGGGTAAGGAATCTTTCCCAATTCAGGAGCACAGATATCCTACAACTAAATCAAGTCCAGAAGACTACAATTGGGAAAATTACACCTGGACCCCTCTATCTATGGACTCAAAAACTATTATATTTTTAAATAGTCTTTCAACTACTTTAATTAATTTTCCACTATACCAAATACAAATGTCCGTTGTCTTTTGGACACAAATTATCAGCAAAGTCAAATAAAACACATTGCTCAAGGGAGAAAATTAAATATTTTTTTGTGAAAATAATTAGAGTAATGGGAAACCCCCTGACATTTGGTATATAATTGAATATAGGGTTAAATTACATTCACATTCCTTAAAATTTGATTTTATTACATGGACATCCCTCACATTTTAAAAATAACACCAAACTCCCTTGACATTTAAAACTTATAACAGTCATACCCCTCCCCAAGACGTTGAACTTGTTAACAGTCAAAACTAATGTCATCAATAATAATTCTCAAAATATCAAAAATATCTTCTAAATTTATCCAACCTCTCATTTATTTTTTTAATCTATATATAAAATATATATATTAAAATTTAACACTTATATGTTTAATTTCTAAATACATTACATTAATAAATAAAATATTAAATTTTTTTGTTTATTAAATAATATTTGGTACTATTAGTACATTTTAAAAAACAATCATTTTTTAAAACCTTAATACTTACCTAATCCAATTATACCATATTAAATTTATTTTTGTTTATTATTTATTTAATTACATAAATTTTTACTCTTTTATTATTTATCTAATTACATAAATTATCAGTTTTGCCAACATCACCCACCAGTTTCGCCACCATCACCACTGCCAAAACCAAACCACCGCAATAGTGCATCTGCCACCCAACACATCCAAACACCACCAGCACACAGAGAGACAAAGAGAGAACAGAGATAGAGAGAATTGTGTGAGCCTGCTTGACGGGGGGTGAAATTTCGGCATCGCCACTTTTGCATCGCCGCCAACTCAATAACATGCACCAACAATCACCACCACCACCACCACCATAACAGAAACGCCCATCACCACCACCACAGAAATGCCTCAGAACTACAAGACAAAGAGATGGAGTTAGGGTTTCAAAATCACCCACCATCACCTCAAATCTGAGAGACGAAATATTAATGAATATTCCATTTATGAATCCAGATTTGCCCCAAATTCATCATTAACACCATCACAGTTAACCACCACCCACCACCGCCGAACTTCTTCGAAAATCACCTCCACCACCACCTCCTCTCTCTCTCTCTCGTACACACAAAGCACCACCGCCGCCCAGTAACAGAGGAACCCCATCACCGGTCCACCACCGCCATCTTCATGTTCTCCTCCACAATGACACAACACACACACACAGCCATCACAGTCCAGCGACCTCACTATAATTAGCTACAGAGTCATTCTATTGAATAACGGTAAACTTTGCGAAACAACATCATTGCATGTTTATTTTCCATCTCTCTTTAGCAATGAGATTGTCGAGTATGGGTGTCCATGAGCCGCATTGCCACAGTCCAGTTATCCGGCCCACAAAAATAGGTCCTATTTATAAATAAAATTGTTTATTATTTAATTTTTGTCCATTTTAACTCTACTTTTAACTCAAAAATATAATTTACAAATATATTAAATTATAAAAATATTCATTATTTCTACATAAAATTATATATAAAAAACCCATCCATTAGGGCCACCACCCAATGCGCCAACAAGCTTGTCCAATGAGTGGTGGGTTGGACTATGAGTAACTTACACTTACCCGAAGTCTGACCTGACCCGTCCAATAACTCACCCGGATAAAGGTTTGGACCTCCCCCACCCAGCCCAACTCGAAAAAATTTCCCATGGACACTCCTAATTGTGAGTGTGAATTACCTTTGGTGAAATTATACTTTGACCTCACTAATAATGTCTCTTTTTTCACATTATCCCCTCAGTTATTATATTTGTCATATTGTACTCACAATTATGATTAGTAATTTCACACTATCCCCCAACTATTATGTTTTTCAAATTGTACCACCAATTAGGGTTTTTAGCTTCACATTATCCCAGTATTTAATTTTGCGTGGGAAATTTTTTTGTGCTCACCAACATATGAGAATGAAATTTATTGACTAATAGTACTAGTAATGGTTGCATCACACAATCTTTGAAGAAATTAAATGGAGATTAAACAAAACTTAGTACAACAAAAATATCATAAAAAAACAACCACAAAACGACAGCATATCAATTTATGTTTTTAGTTCTTGTGCTCCCTTGTAAGATCACAATAATAAATACAACGGAAATATCAAAAAACCAACAACAAAACCACAGCAAATATGCTTATTATGTCTTAGTTCAAGTTCTACCTCCATTGTAAGCTCTCCATTCTACTCGCCTCTTACTTATTGTGGCACTTCAGCAGCTGCTCAAAGGATATAGCATATAAGTGGGAATTTTCAAGAAGAACACAAAAAATACCTGCAGAGCAAATAAGGAAATAAATTAAGAAACAATAATTGAAATGAACTTTATTTAAAAAGGTCATTCAGTGTACGGGGATCCCACTATTGCGTCACTTTGATCCCAACAAAATCAAGAGTTCAAAAATAATGAGTGAATTATGTAGTCTTTTAAGGATGTCTTCAATCCAATATTCTAGTTATTTCATCAACATCATCGTCTATAAGAAATTATACTTATGTATAACAATCACATGGTTGTGCATCCCAGGTACCGTTTTGTGCAAATACTTTTTAAAAATTAGTTCTATATCTAGTTCACCCTGACATCCTCAATTATAGGAGCCAAAATGAGTACCTTTTTAACTCTTTGACTAAACCTAATAATTAGGGGCGTTCATGGACCGGCTTATCCACCGGTCTTGTTATCCCACCAAAAAAAACAAGTCCAAAACTTGATAGATCAGATAGTTGGCCCGCCTGAGCTTTAGCCAAATATCTTTTAAAAAATGGCTTCAATTTACCTCTAACCCACTACTCGGCCCGAAATTATATATTTTTCAATAGGGCCCAACAAGTTCGCCCAACAGGCCCAACAAAATCCGGCCGAATAGGTGACGGGTTGGACTGCGGGTAGCTTACCCTTACCCAAAGCCCGACCCGACTCGCTTAATTACTTGCCCAGGCATGGGCTTGGACCTAAACTACCCAAGCCCGGCCCCAAAAAACTTCGCAGGCCAAGCTTGGCCTAACCCATGGACAACCCTACCAATATTTGTAACTCGTAAATTATATTAGTCATAACCAGTGCTTAAAAACATGATAAAATATAAGATTTAAGCTTTTAAAAAATTGACTCCACTATATTTAAAATAATAATTTTTTATTTCTTCGTTTATTTGATTATATCATTTAAAATTAATTTTTATCTATTATTTTTTTAAAAGTAACATCAAAATTTTCTCAAAATGTATAACCACACAAAAATTTTTCAACACGTGTACATTATCATGTATGGACAATATATAAAACAAAAATTGTGTTAAATTACAAATTAATCAAATATTAAATGATTAAACATGTGATAGAATGAGTGATAAGATGATTTTGGGAGGAAAAATATATGGGGGATAAAAATTCAAACTCCTAGGTGTTTTATTATATAGATATTACACTTTTGCTCGACTTTAAGTGTGTCATTAATAACGGATATATTAAATTTTAAGTGCAATTATACCATACGAAATAAGCTAAAGTAAGGTATAAAGATTAATACATTACCTTTTCATTCGAAATACGAAGCTACGTTTGTTGATTTTTTGCCTAGTTTTCTTCGTAGAAAAGGGGCATCGAAGCAATGTTACTGGTATTGTTTCAACCTCTTGGTCACAAACTTCACACATGTTATTTCGTGTCTCATTGAAGTGGTGAGATGCACATTTGTCATGGACAAGACCAGTTTTGCAATTGCATTTTGTCTTGAGAACATTTTCTTCGGCAAATATGTTGAAGCAAAATTTGCAAACTGCTTGTTCTTCATGAATCTCTTCATCATCTTTTTCTAGAGAAAAAGAGCAAGGTTATAACGGAAATAACAAGGACAAAAGAAAAACAATTGGTTACATATAAATAGATAATAAGATTATATATAGGCTGCTTTCATTTGTCTGTTTATAATCTAAAATTTTAATAGAACTGCAACAATAAATCATGACAAATTAAATGACTCGAGACAAAATTTTGTTGCCCTAAAATTTCATGTCTTTTTTTTTTCCCCCTTGAGAGGGGTAAGCTAACCTCTGAATAAAATACACTTTTTGGAAAATGTTGTATGCACTAAATTTGTACACCAAATAATGTGGCAACATCTCAATTATTGAATGTTTATTGAAGTTACTGGACCCGTTAATCCAATAACGCACATTGATTTGATATAGAAAATTTGGTATAAATATCAGCGAGTGTTGCATTATTGACTTTTGCGTACACAAGTACACCATCCATATACGAAGATGCATATAGATCTTTTTTGTATAATTATAAATATGTACATTTTTTTGACAAATTTATTTTTATTAAAAATATTCTCAAGAAAAAACATTACAACATGGTACATTAGTTATGCAAATATAGGTACTTGAGATTTATCATTGAAAGCTTAAAAGTTGAACCTTAAGCTAGCGGGATTTTCTACGGTACCTAATTCGTTACCATTCTGATAGTTATGACGCAAATGGTTCAATGTTACTGCTCAATTTGATTCAAAGTCGGAATGGATCGATCCAAAAATATTAGTATCATTCTCAACTTTTTAAGATCAATCTTGATCTATTCATTGGAGTCGTAAGTTGATCCCAATGAATAATAATTTTAGATGCGACACAAAAAAATAATTTTTCAATACCACATAACTCTCCCTAAGCTAAATAACATAAGAATAAGAAAGTTGAATGATAGATTCGGCACCTACCTTTAGGTTTCTTCTCACTCCTAAAAGCCGTTGGTCTAATGGTGACGATATTTCCACCAACCTGTAAAAAATCTAACAAGGATAAATAATAACTGACTAAGCTGGTTTAAAAATATATATTGAGAAACAATAGAAATATGAAAAAAGTGACTATTAATAAGAATATGGTTATTTGTTTTATTGTTAATTCGACTCAACAAAACATTGTTCTAATATTATTTAAAATTTAATTCACATATGAATTTTTCTCTCTTTGCAATAGCATCTGTCTCAAAAAATATATGTACGTTTGAAGACTATTATGAAATAAATAAAGATTTTTAATATTTGATAACAAAATATATATCTCATTTTCTAATTATATATTCAACCTTAATGTGATTTTAACAATATAGTCACGAATAGTCCTAGTTACCCATTGGGCAGTGCATAATTTCTGTAGGACTCACGGATTGTCATAGTTACTCACATACTTTGCTTATTTTGTCATGGCTTTGTTTTTTCCTTTACAAAGTAACCCATTGACAATAACGGAAAAACTAACGGAAAACTAATAGAAGGATCATATTACAATACTTTTAATACATTGAGAGTATAATGTAAAAAATTTATTCTTTAAAAGTATAAAATGAGAAGTTTAAAAATTTTAGGGCACAAAGTGTAATTCACCCATATTTATATGTATTAAGGACTCCATTTATATTGTGTTTGAGATGACTAATAAAATTTAAAAAGTACTTCTTAAATAATTAATTTTCAACAATATTTTTATAAATAAGTACTTTCATTAAATAAACACTGTTTGGATGTTCAAATAAAAAAACTCTAAAATAAAAATTATTTTATCAAAATGTGCGAGGTGGTGAGTGATGGCGACAACGGTCGTTGTGGGGTGGTGGCAGAGGTGGTGGTGTGATGGCAGCGACGATGGTGGTGAAATATTTTGTGGAGAACTGATTTTAAAGAAATTGAAGTTATTTATTTATTTATTTTTTACTTACTTATTTAAGTGGTAAAATTATTTTTAACTTATTAGAAAGTAATTAAAATAAGGTGTTTCAAACACTACCTTTTTTTTTCAAAGTGCTCCTGAAAAGTCATAAGTTCTAAAAACACTTTTGGAAAGTCACCCCAAACACAATTTTTAAATTGTAGAACTAACCCTATATGTTTTACAAATTTTCAATGGGGCAATCTTTAAACACTTCTGAAACTTTTTAAAATTCTAGGCCTGTAATACATGTTATAATATACAACTCAAAATCAATTGACGATAAATGAAAAAACCCCTTATGTTCATAAATCAATTTTATATTAGGTAGTCTTTGACCTGTTTTTATAACTTGGATCCGTCTGTTATGAACACGTTATATATGGCTATTAGAATGACCGTTGCAAATGTGACAAAAAAATCTCATGGCTAATGTCAAGTGAAGATAGTAACGTAAGTCTTGAAATTCACCAGCTAGCTAGGTAGAAAACAACCAACTTACATTGAACTCCATTGTATCACGACTCCATTCCCCATTGGACCTTTCGAATGAAGGTAATACAGCGGCATGGGCCTGCCACGAGAGACACAGAAAGAAATATTAATGCAATTACTTTTAGTGAAAATTAGACTTTGTGTCATACTAAAATGGGATTTTTGCATTTTGCTTTTTGAAAGATGTCTCGATTCTCACTTTGTATCCCAAAAAATTAATTTTTTCATATTATACACTGAATGTCAGAAATTGGTTCCAACGTGACCTTCAGACTAACATCTGTTTCGAATTCCGTTAAAAATTAATGTACATACCACCCAGGGATATGGATGGTGAATTTATATTTTTATCCAAGAACATCACATATGGGTAGCAAGTGCATTAATTTTTAACAGAATCTGAAATAAATGTCAGTCCGAAGGTCACACACATTAGAACCAATTTATGACATTCAAGATGTAATATGAAAAAAATAATTTTTCAGGGTATAAAGTGAGAATCAAGAGATTTATTTGGGGTGCAAAATACAAAAACCCCTATTAAACTTTGTCTTTTATTATCATGTATATTTTGGAACGGAGTCAAGATTTTATAGAGGGGCCAATAATGACAAAATTAGGAATGTTATTCAACAAGTCATTGTTATTGTTAAATTTATACTTGCATGAAATTTATCCAAAATCAACTTTAACATGATATATCCAGGATTAGTGGCAAAGATGCATTGACTACTTGAAATTAATTAGACGATCTACTAGAAGGATCTATCGGCCGACGTTAATAGGTGTGTTATATGACAATTGAGTTAGACATAGGAGATTTGTGAACTCAAGACTGTAATCCACAAAATAATGGCCTAAGTTTGGTTGTGCACAGTATTGAGTACCCAACCGTGATTAAAAGGGTCAATTTGACTTGAATCCTGAACTTGATCTTTAATCGTACGGCCATAAAATTTAAACATTATCCTTACATCCTATAGTTAAGTCATGAAGCCTTCTAATACAATAGATGAAAATATAGCTTTCGAAAATCTTAGAAGGAGGCATCAAAATTTTTAAAATCTAAAAAAATTTTAGAGTGGGTTGCCTTGAGGCTAGGTCATAGGGATTTATTACTAATAAATATCCTAATTTTGGCATCGATGATATGTTTTAACCAGACTGAAAAGAGAATTAATCGAGATGTGCATAAATTGATCTAAACACCACTGACCATTGAACTGAGGGGGCATGGCCCCAAGGGAGCTCTGTCCCTGTACATGTTTACAAATTTGAATCATGTTAGGTCATCTCTGACTCTTACTCAAAGATTCAATGATCATTATTACTCCCTTTTAAATTTAGGTTTGACCTCATTTAAATTTGTATCTCCCATTTTTTAAATTTGAGTTTGTCCATTAGAGTCCTTTATATCAAATCAAGCTTTTTATTCAAATGTTAATTTAAATTTGAGTACAAATTTAAGTCATAGTTGAAGATGCTCTTAGTCAAGTGAATCTAGAAAATTCATTCATTTAATAAGGCTAAATTAAAGAAGAGAAATTAAATATAAATAGAGATTGGAGAAAAGAGGGAGAAATAAAAATACCAATCTTCAATATAAAAAGCTTATTTAATGTAGGACCAATTTAGGATATTATTCGGCATGATAAGGTTAGGATCGATTATGAATTACTTCTAGAATTGTTTCTGTTAAAAAAAACCTTGTAGAGGTACGTGTTAATAGATTAAAAAAAAAAGTTTATTATTTACATTATAACTTCTTATTCCTTTTCATTTAAAAAAGTGGGGCTGCATTCTAATCAGAGCCTGTTGCTTTGCCATATCTGCTTCAAGTATTAAAACATTCTGGGTAATTAGTATCCACACCCCATCTAAAGAAATATATCTTCAATGAGTCCTTTCTATTATCCAAAACATAAGTATAATGCAATTTTACTAAATTGTCTATGACATATTTTAGAAATAACTTTATCTACACCCTTTTAGATAGATATATCTTCAATGAGACATTCTCTATTTTCAAAAAAAAATTATGTATTAAAATTAGGGTCAATTAAAATCCGATTTGAGGTGATTAAATTTTATATTTTTTGTTTATTAAAATTTAAGTCTCGAATTTTAATACGAAAAAAATAAATTTTAATCAACTTGAATCAAATTTTAATTAATTCGAATTTTAATCAAATTTTATATAAAAATATTATTTTGGGGTTTATGTAGGGCTAATTTTGGCATTTCAAATAAATTTTTAGGGAGAATTACATCTAGAGCCCTTGAGATTTGTCACTTAATCACTTAAACTCCATTGACATTTGAAATATTATATATAGACCCCTGAGATTTGTATACGCATAACACTTAGACCGCTGCCGTTAGTATATCATTTAATAAATTACATCAAGACCCCCAAAATTTGTAAATGTGTAATACATAAACCTCTCGAGTTTAAAATGTTATACTTAGATAAAAAATACTCAAATTAAAAATAAAATATAAAATATTTTAAATTTTATAATCAAAATTCATGTTTTATTATGACATTTATTAAAATAAAAATCTATTTTTTTTCAAAAAAAAATCATAATTAGTGTACAATTATACTGTATTGAAATTCAATTTAGTTGTTTAAACAACCAAATTATCTCAATTAAAGATAGAAGATATTGTGTCCATTACAGTTTAACTCTTATTTGATTTTTTTGTTTTATTCCAATAGATAATATAATTGTATACTAATTATGATTTTTTACGAAAAAAATATATTTTTATTTTTAATTTGATTTCAATAAATGACATAATAGAACATAAATTTTTATTGTAAAATTCACGTTCTATTATAAATGATTTAGACCCTTTATTTGATTTTTTTTTTAGTTTTATTCTAATAGATAATATAATTGTATACTAAGTACGATATTTTAAGAAAAATTGGGTTTTAATTTTTAATTTTATTTCAATAAATAATAAAACAGAATATGAATTTTGATTATAAATTTTAAAATATTTGATATTATATCTTTGATTTGAGTATTTTTGGTCTAAGTATAACATTTTTGACTTGAGGGGTATAAGTATTATATATCTATACAATTTAAGGGGTCGGGATGGAATTTACTAAAAAATATATTAACGATAGGGGTTTAAGTATTATGCGCGTAAAAATTAAGGGGGTCTATGTATAATATTTTAAATGTCAAGAAATTTAAGTGATTATGTGACAAATCTCAAGGAATCTAGACATAATTTTTTTCTTTTTTTTTTCTTTTTATTATAAAGGGTGGTTTAGATAGGGAGTGTAGTGATATTTTGAATTATAGAGAAAGTGTCGTTCATGATATAATAAATTGAAAGAGATGTGAGTGAAATTTTTCCAAAGCAACTTTTCTTTTCTTTTTCCCTTTCATGTTTGTTGCCTTTTTCCATAATTAAACAAAAACAAATAAAGAAAACAACCAGCCACAAATGGAGATAAAGGTTGTAGAGTGAGTCTCAAAAGCGGCAGAAAGAAAATGGGAAGAGAAAGAAAGAGTACAAAAACCAACCTCCTCCATGACAGAGGAGTCACTATCAACCCATGGCCATGAGAAATTGCCGCTGGTGGCTTCATTCACAGGTGTTTTTTCCATTTTCTAGCGAATAAGGAAAACTAAGGGTGCGTTTGTCAATATTTTTATTTTATTTTTTATATAAAAATAAAACATAACTAGTTTTTTTTGTGATAAAAATTTAAAATATAAAATAATTTTTAGGTGTTAAAAAAAAAGTGGTAATGAATTTTTAGGTGTTATATATGATTTAAAAAATTTATATACATCATTTATTTTAATCAATAAGAAATTAAAAGTTAAAATTTATAATTAGTGCTCACCAGTCTTTTGTCCGCCCTTACAACCGGAAATAAGAAATCACCATTGGTGGCTTCAGCGGTAGTCACGGGTGTGTTTTTTTTTTTCTAGCAAATAAGGAAAACCAAGTATTAGTGGAGAAAATGGAAGGAGAGTCGTTTGAGAGAGAGAGAGAGAGAGAGAGAGAGAGAGAGAGTAGAAAAACCAACCTGCAGAGAGGAATTTCCATCGAAAATGTCAACCGGCGAAGGCGACGAGGAATCACCAGTGGTGGATTTAGCAGTAGTCACTGGGTTGCTTTCCATTTTTCCTTGGGAATAATCTGAAGAGAAAATCACAAAATGGTATTGAAATTACAATGGTGGTGGCAGAGAAAATGATATTGTCTACTAGCTTAAACATAAAAATAATTATATATCTACAATGCAGAAAGAGGTTTCCATCAAGAAGATGCTATGAAATTTCCATCTAAACCCCGCAGTTTCTGAGAAATGGAGATTTGAGAGACATGGAGGTGGAGAAGACGACTTCTAACCAAGTTGCTAAGACGACTTCTGCCACTGTCATTGTAATTTCAATACCATTTTGTGATTTTCTCTTCAGATTATTCCCAAGGAAAAATGGACAGCAACCCAGCGACTACAGCTAGAAGAGGTGAGATTGTCTACTAGCTTAAATATAAAAATAATTATATACCTACGATGTGGAAAGAGGTTTCCATCAAGAAGATGCTACGAAATTTTCATCTAAACCCAGAAGTTTCTGAGAAATAGAGATTTGAGAGATGAGGAATCACCACTGATGGCTTTAGCAACAATTACTGCCTTGCTTTCCATTTTTTCCTTTCGGATCTGAAGAGGAAATTACAATTCCCTTGCCGGAGGAGATGAGAATGTAATCCAACGGTGGAGGAGATTACGTTTGTGTACTCAATACAAATACCTAAAATGTGGAAAAAAGGACGAAACTTCCTTGGAACCAAGAAAGATGCTATGAAATTTCCATCAAAACTAAGAGTTGCCGAGAGATAGAAAGTTTAAGAAACTTGTTGGTTGCCGGGGGGGGGGGGGNTTTCATGCTGATTAGGGTTTTTGGATTAGAGCATATAATACTAAGGCATGTGTGAAATTTATTGTTTTTTACAAAAAAGAAAAAGAAAATATATCGTGAAAAAACATTAACATGAAATTAGGGCTTTTACAAATTAAGTTTTGTTGTGTTTTTTGTGAAATTTGTTGTTTTCTTCAAATTTGTTATTCCTTTCCATCATTAACATTATTATCTTATTTTTTCTTCAAATGGTGGGTCTAATTTTCCACTTAAAGATACTTTCCCTTTCCAAGCGTACGGTAATTCCAACCCAAGAATCTCATACACACAAAGTCTCCAAAATCATCCCAGCCACCACAATTGGTGGGCCGACCACTGGCAGAGACTTCAAAGTCTTCAGCAAAGACTTCAAAGTCTTCTTCTGCAAATAGTTAGGAAAGAATTGCTTACAAGAATTCCACTTACTTTTATGGCCCACCGTTCTTTCTTTTCTTTTCTTTTCTTTTCTTTTCTTCCAATACTGTCCATATCCTTAAATCTATCTCCAAGGCTTCCTACGTGAAAGTCTTCACCATGGGACCACTTTTCCACCAAGAATCCCATAAAATATTCTATTACCTCTTTCACCTCTAATTTGCTAATTGGAACATTATCTGTGTTTGGTCTATTAATTGATGTATGCTAGCTCTTAGTTATTTTATTATTTCTTATTATTTTTAATTACATATTTGTTATTTCTGAGTTACTTTATATTTTTGTATTTATGTGATTATAGCGATGGTAGCGTAGAACAAAGTTCATCACACGAATTCAACAATGAGAGAAAAAAGGACAATCTTGAGGGAGATTGGTGACAAAAAATATTAGAAAGAAGTTGAACAAAGTAATGGTGGAGTCAAGGGTTTGTTCTGTATTGCAAGTTGGGGGGCTAAGCTATGAGATAATGGATGGGGAATTTAGGTGCATTGTGAAATTAAATGAAAATACGTGTGATTGCATGGCTTGGGGTATATCGGGCAAACCTTGTAAGCATACCATTCAAGCGATTTCACATAAGAGACTAAACTTTGAGAATTTTTGTGATGATTACTTCAAGAAGGCTGCATTTTTGAAGGCACACGAACTTCAGATTATCCCAATTTGTGATATAAGAAAATGGCCCTCATCTCTTGGTGATCTATTGGATCCTTTTCTTTTGAGAAGATTTCTAGGTAGACCAAAGAAAAATAGGAGAAGGGAGCGCAGCAACCAGAACTAATGTAGTTAGGAGGAACTTAACAGTGGGATGTGTGATATGTAAGGAATATGGACAGACCAAGAGAACATGTCAGACAACACCGGTAAGGGAATCACAAGGCAGAGGAAATACTGGGAATGAGGATGGGGGCACAAAATCATAACAAGCCACAAGCAATGTCAAAGTAGAAGTATAGAAATTGGATTTTGTGCGTGCAGATCTTGCATAATATAAACACGAGAACAGATCTCTCCTTTGGTGAACTCGAGTGAGTCAGTCGAGTGGTCAACCCCGCTGCTTGGAACAGCCTATGAGGTCCGGTGGTAGCCTGGAATGATAATGGGAGACCCTCGTGGATTAATGGAACGATCCAGTAAGGCTGAAGAAGATTCCTGGAACAAAGAAGAACAAGTTAGAAGGGCGCCAGAGTATTTTCCGGCGTATCCCCTCCGACGATCAAGTCAGTATTTGAGAGAGAGGAAAAAGAAAATACTGAGTATGTATTGTAGCAAAGGTTTTTGTTGCATACCGTCTTGCCTTTTGCGAGGAGTATTTATACCTCAAAAACTCATGATTGCTATCAGTGTAGTCAGTAGGTGATCATTAGGTACAGGCAATGTGCGCACTGATTCCGATGAGGAATGTCTTCTCTTTTAACTGCTCGGGATCCCAAGCAATCAATGTTGTGTCATCGGGCTGCCGACTGTCCAATGAGCTCCTCTCGGGGAGGATGCAATAAATGTCCAGCCTTAGAGACATTTATTGCATTTCACTTTCGAGCCTTACCGCATTCAATGCAGTCTCATCAAGGAAATGGTGTAATTAAATGCTTACTTTCCCAAGTCGTGTGTCATCAAGGGCACGTGGTCTTTATGTCTCTGATGTGACACAATATGCCACGCGTCCATCCCCCATTGGCTGTGGCCCCTGTCTTCCTGTACCTTCTGACACCAGTTGTGTAAGACGAGGTCATGATGCCTAGCCTAGGCTAGTAACCTGTACATCAGTAGCTTTGCAGGAGAAGAAAATGTCATCCTGGACGTTGGTACATCTCGGACCCGAGGGGTAAGTTTATCTCAGAGCCGAGGGTGTGTATATAGCGACCGATGTACCCATATCAGACCGAGGAATACATGTCGGTTTGTAAACGTACTGGATGCCACTTGATCCCTATGACAAAAGTACCTCGGGGGGAGAGGGACTTTGTAAGCCGATGGTACATGATCTTAGTAAGAGGATTTAGTGACACCGAGGACACGTGTCTTCACCTTGGAGTATTTCAAAAAATGTCCCATCAACTGCCCCCCAGCCTTCGATCTTCTGATGCCGAGGACACGCGTCGTAAAGAGACGAAGGGTTTTACAACAACCCCAACTGCTTTCATCATTGCGTTTAGCCGTTTTCCCCTGCTTAGGACGTCGTGCGCATTAAATGCGCCTTTTTGTGCTTCGCGCCCAATGATGAGATTGGTGCTATATAAATGGGCTTCCTCTCCTATTTTCTCATTTCGTCATTCCGAACTTTCTTAAGAGAGCCTTTGCCTGAATCTTCGCCGGAGATCTCTTTCCTTCTGTTGTCAACTGCCCAACCTTTTCCCTGAAGTCTTAAGGCCAGCAGACCCACCGTTGCTTCTGAATACTCTGGAAGGAGTCGCCTCAAGTTTTCCAGAAAAAACTCTATTTTACATTCTGGTGAGTCCCAATATCTTTCCTCTCTTCGTCCTTCTATCCCTTTTGGTTTTTCGATAACTGGAGGTTTCTCTGGTTGCTACTTAGCGAACAATTCTCAGGAAGCTTCCTTGGGGATCTTTGAGGGAAAAACACCCTCCTTCACTTTTTCTCACTTTCTTCGAGATGCCTCGTCGTCGCCCTGCCCCCGAGAATCCTCAGGCCAGTTCTTCGGGGTCAGGGAAGTATAAAGTAAAGGATGGCGAGCAAATTAATAGGTTTAGGGTTAAGTACAACATCCCCCCGTACGTAGACATAGAGGATTATAACCCGGCTGTGCACTCTCGTACCTTCGGGATCGAGGATGCAATGCCCTTTTATACCAAAGCCATTATAGAGGGCGGAATTACCCTTTGCCCCCTCTACTTCTCTAGTTTCTCTCCCATTTCCACCTCTTTCCCGGGTAGTGTTGCCTTAATGTCTTCAGGATAATTATGGGGGTCTTAGAGCTCAATAGGCGTCTCGGGGTACATGTTGGGCTGAACGATCTACTTTTTTGCTATTCCCTCTTGAGAGTCATGCCTCAACAACACTTCTACCTCAAAGCCAAGGACCCATCTATGTATCTCGTAACTCATCTTCTTGACTCAGACAAGGGGTACAAGAACGACCTACTTATCTTCAAGGGATCTTGGCAGAGAGGTGTCAGTCCCGAGTATAACGGCTTGTTATGTCATTTGGAATGGAGAACGACAAGTACGTCGGTTTCTTCGGGTCAATTATTTTGTTCTTGAGATTTTCTATGTTCATGACCCCCCCCCCCTTTTTTGTTTATACAGATGTCCCTGCTCGGGAAACAGCTCCTCCCCCTCGGTCCTTGGTGAACTTTGCTGACCTAGCCACGGTTTGGAGATTTACTGGTGACGACAGGTTCGGCCGGGCTGCCCACATCCTGCTGAATTACACTCCCGGATATAAAAAGTTTTCACAGCTTCCCCAGTCTTTCGAGCCTTCGCGGTGGTCTGAACTTTTCGATCAGGCGGCGAGGCAAGAGGTCGAGGAGAACTTGGAAGAAGACCCTGATCGGGCTTCGGAGGCAGAAGTAGAGNGCGGTGGTCTGAACTTTTCGATCAGGCGGTGAGGCAAGAGGTCAAGGAGAACTTGGAAGAAGACCCTGACCGGGCTTCAGAGGCAAAAGTAAAGGGTGAAGTTGAAGAGCTCGGGGTCAGANAGGAGAACTTGGAAGAAGACCCTGACCGGGCTTCAGAGGCAAAAGTAAAGGGTGAAGTTGAAGAGCTCGGGATTAGAGAGGACTTTGTTCCTTCGGACGCCGAGGTGGGGACTTCGGGGAGAGATTTGTGGCTAGACTTCCAAATCCTACAATCTCTAGACGCCGAGGACGCCCTCGAGGTAGCTATGTCCAGCACGCCCCGTATTGATCTACGATTCCTAAGGCAGAGGCAAGCTCTTGCTGCCGGGAGGGGACGAGGATTGACCGGTGGGGCCTCATCTGTAGGGGCCAGCGCCACCCCATCCTCAAGAGTCGTCAGTCGGGGTCAAGTGCGTGACCGGGATCCTCAGGTAGAGGAGGAGAGGAGGGTTAAACATAGGCACGACGGCCTTGGCAGGGGTCCCAGGTCCCCCTCCGCTCAGCAGCAAAGTGGGAGGAGCCGTGGGTTACCTCCTGTTCCTCAGCAGCAACAACAACAACAGCAACAACAACAACAACAACAACAACAACAACAACGGCAACAGCAGACTCCTCCTCTCCTTCCGCAGACAGTGGAAGCCACGGAGTGGAATTCTCAAGCCATTGATCACATGAACCGAGTGATCAGGGTCGACGACTCCATTTTACAGGACCCCCATGTCACCAATGTAGTGAGTGAGACGCTGCATTTCGAGGCCGACATGGTGGCTCACAGGGGCGATCAACGAACGTGTTGTTTCGCTCTATCATCTAGAATTCCCTGGTGATAAGTTCATCTTTGCTTTAGTCTCTTTTTTTTTAGCCGCTTTTCTTTTTAGTGACATGCCTTTTCCTTTGCAGGCCACCCAACAGATCTCTATAATAGCGGCACGGTATCATGGGGCTAGGATGGAC